ACTATTCTTTCCATGATTACCATAACATCTCTGCTTGCTTTGATTGCTTGAAGGCTACTCTGATCTCTATGGGAATAATGGACCTGATTAGTGATTTTTTATTAATTAATAGGAGGGAATGGTTATGTTGAAATCCTTGAATGTTTGCATGGATATTGTACCGTACAGATGAAAATTTTTGCCTTTTTGTTCTAATATTTTTGGTAACTTACATCAAAATGGGAAATTTCATCTAAACTTATCCATTCGGGTCACTCATATGACTTGGCTTTTACTGTTCAGATATTGGAGTGATAAGTGACGCAATAATATTCATGTAGGAGGATTTGAAAATAACTGAGGCACAACAAGAGATTCTTGTTGGAATTTTTGGCATTGTTTCTCTAGTGGGCAGTTTAATTGCTGGGAAAACATCAGATTTAATTGGTAGAAAGTGGACATTGGCCTTAGCTGCTCTTCTTATTCAAATTAGTTCGATCAGTTGTAATGGCTGTCGCACCTTCTTTCGAGATACTGATGGTAGGAAGGATCTTGTGCGGGGTTGGCATGGGCTTTGCAGTCATGATAACCAGTGCATATTGCAGAGATATCACCTGCTTCTGCTAGAGGCTTGCTTACCTCTTTCCTAGAGATTTTCATAAATGTAGGAGTCTTGCTCGGCTATGTCACCAATTATGCATTTTCTGGTCTTTCGGTCCACATAAACTGGAGGATAATGCTAGCTATGGGGAATTTGCCTTCAGTCTTCATAGCATTTGCACTATTCATCATCCCTGAGTCACCAAGGTAGCTGGTGATGCAAAACCGAGTAGAAGAAGCAAGATTAGTGTTGCTAAAAACAATTGAAAATGACGCAGATGTGGAAGAAAGACTAATGGAAATACAACAAGCAGCTAGAATTAGTGATGTTGATAAGTATGATGAAAAATCTGTGCTGCGTGAAATGTTAATTCCTTCTGCTTCTGTTAGACGGATGCTATTTGTTGGACTTGGAATCCAGGTTTTCCAACAGACAACGGGAATAGATACAATTGTGTATTATAGCCCTGAAAGTTTCAAGAATGCTGGGATTGAGAGCAACTCTAAACTTCTTGCTATAACTGTTGCCGTGGGTGTCGTAAAAGCTGCTTTTGTTTTGGTTGCCACCTTTCTTACTGAAAAACTTGGGCGAAAGCCCCTGCTCTACGCAGGCACAATTGGAATGACCATTTGTTTATCAACTCTAGGCTTTACTCTTTACTAGGAAAAGGGCGGCTTGTGATTGCATTGGCAGTTCTACGTGTTTGTGCGTGTCTAGCATTCTTTTCTCTGGGACTAGGGCCTATTTGTTCGATTTTGACATCAGAAGTTTTTCCCTTGAGGTTGCGAGCTCAAGCGTATGCTCTCGCAGCAGTGGTTAATAGACTGTGCAGTGGCTTTGTTACCATGTCTTTCCTCTCCCTTGCACAAGCACTTACAGTTGGCGGAACATTCTTCATCTTTGCAGCACTGTCAGCTCTATCTGTTCTCTTTGTTCACACCCTTGTTCCAGAGACTAGAGGAAAATCATAGGAGCAAGTTGTGTTCCTATTCCAAAATCAACCTCACCGTCATGGAAGCAAAATGGAAATGGGAGATTCTGAGCATCTAATTCAGAAAGCATGAGAAAGTGTTGCTTAGGAAAGTCTCTTTGACCAACAAAAAAAAAAAAAAAGGGGGGGGGAGGGGTTCCATTTCCTGGTATATGTTTTGAAATTAAAGAATTCCATGTTATGATTGGGGGTGTTCTGAAATATACCAGTCTATGATATGATTTGGTGTGTTCTGGAACAATGCATTCTATGTTTCTGAGAAGTTATAAGCTGGTAAGATTTATATTATGGACAGAACGCTTAATGACGGCATCGTTGTGAATTTAAATTGTTTCATATTTTCACGATGCTGCACTACGAAATGCCATCATTTAGAACCCGTACGTCCTGTCTTGTCCTTAAAATGGTATGAAGCATAATCTGAAATATATAAGTTACCCTTTAGATATGATTTAGTTATTGTATTTATATTATTTTTTAAAGATGATGGTTTGATTAATGTTTTTACTTTTTGTTTTGATAGAATATTAAATGTTAATAAAATCAAACTTTTGAATCTAGTAGTTAATTTCAAAATCTTAAAATATTTAGATTTATTAATCGAGGTTTCGACCCCTGTTAACCTTTTAGAAAAAATCCCTCCTCCCTTAAATTGTAGACTTTTAAAAAAAAAAACAAATGTTGGTATGTTAATTTTACTGTTATCTTAAAAAAATAAAAATAAATTAAATGTTTTATTTAATTATAAATAAAAGTGAAAATAGAAAGATACATATTAGAGGGAAGTAATTTTGACTGTACTGATCTGTATTTTTTGGTTGTTATTTAAGAAAATGGATCATACCTGTACAAAGATCAGTTTAGGAGCATGAGGCAATATGATTATTCACTGTACAGGATAAGAACATTGAGGTGGCTTCCATCACCAGACTGCTTCCAAACTGGTAATTTGACAAATTGAAGAAGACTTTCTCACTTCAAATTATCAGTGTTGAAGAAACTTCCAAGTCAGTGGTGACCCATAAACAGGTTCAGAATTTTCAAATAAGCTTGGATAAAGCATTATGGTGCTTGGAGACGCTACATTGTTTTGTCTTTCGATTTCTTGTGTTAGGATTAAATGGTGAAATAAACATGATTACTCCTATAATTACACTAGCATTTAGAAGTCTTCAACTCCTAACTATCTTATTTATAAAGATTACTTAACTCTATTTGTTAATGCTATAGGTCTTTCCTAATATTTTTTATTTATTGCAGAG